TGTAATACAATGGCTGTGTTCCAGGATCCTTCCTGTTCTGGACAATTGTCCAGGGTTATTACCCCTCCATTAGAGTGAGCCTTCAAAGCTGTCTGTAAACAGTACACAGTGGCTTTTAAAATGGCATTGCAGAATGGTGTAATCAGCTGAGGAAGATTTGTATGTTCCAACTGAAGTTATTTAAGAGAATAGTATGCTGGAAGAAGGCTGAAAATTGATGGTTGCTGAGTCTGAAAAGGTGATCTGTGAAAAATCTGGTGTCTCATTATTAACTGTTATTACAGGTCTTGGTATTGTTATAAGACATAATAGAGCTTGTACTTTTGCTAATGTTACTTGGGACAGGTCCTCTGTATAACATACACATCAAGCTCCCTGTATGTAGTCCATTGTCCTTGAATCCTGACTGCTGAGCCTCCAACCATCATTCGTAAGTCTTAGAGGAGAGCTGATTACATGATTTTATTCTCAGGACTGGTCATGAGGAATACCTTTCTGTAATGGTTTTCCTTGGTAGTGTTTCTCCAAAATATTTTATGGAGGACATTAGATGTTATTTAAACTTCTTTGTAGATTGGGAAACTGAAGCTCAGTGTTGCTAAAGACTTGATTCTAGTATAAGTCTTGAAGTTACCAGAATAAATAGAACCTTAGTACTATGTAAAATAATGCTAAAACTTATTTTTGTACATGAATATGAATAAGTACATATTGTGTGTAGTATATATATTTAATAATACATAGAAAATAAATAGACTTCATGTATTGCTGGTCAACCGCGAATCAGTGAGGCTTACAGAACCATGGAAAGCTACTCAAATTAACATCCATTTATTTACATTTATAATGACACTTATAATATACATTTGCCCATTGTTCCTTCCTTCTGCAATTCTTAAGGCTCTGAAGGTATTTGATAAATGAGTATATACTACTACTTTTTAAATCTGAATTTTTCTATTAACTGTGTTCAAATGGGATTTAATCTGAGAACCTATTTTAGATTTGTCAGTGTAGGTGGAAGAGAAATTTGAAAGTCAGAAGAGATTGTATATTGTTATAAATTGATAAGTGATATTCTTTGCTTCTACTGCAAATGCAAGTGCCAGCTGATTTAACAAAGAATTTATAAGCAGTGACAGTAACATGTAGGTTTAATATTTCGTTTGACACGAAACTTTGCTGTCGATTCATTCAATTCCATTTAAGAATTTGTATGCAGAGTAAGAGTGATGATGAGTAATTATTTCGGTTGATTTTAGCACTTCTATCTAAGCAAAACCAAGACAGTTTCAGCAATTAACTCAGCTTACTCAAACTTAGTTTAGGGACAGTCCTCTAAGGTATGGGTCAGCTTGCTCTTGATGGTTTGTATTGTCCTGAAGACTTTGAGTAAAGCTGAAATAATTCAGAAGGGATCAAAAGCAATATGATAGGTCAAAACCTAGTGGCTGCATAGCTGTATTTTGAACAAGAAAGTGGTTTGTTGCTTATGGCAAGGTGCAAGATGCCGCTTGAGAAGTCCTCGTGTAGCAAAGCTAACTGTAAGGGATTTCTGGACATGAAGTGAACTTGAGAAGGGGTAAGGGGAGAGCGAGGCATAGTGGGAAGGAAGTGACTTTAACCCTCTTGCACCTTGCCTGAAGAATGTTCAGCGCAAATGTGCACTGAATTAACGCTACTTGTTACAGCCAACGGGACTGAGATACAAGCCTTACAGTCCACAGCATGGGAGCATAAGCTGCATATTGGCCATAAGGAATGAGGGTTTAGCAGACTGAGAGCTGAGCAAGACCGGATCTCTAAAAAGCTTGAATATTTCATCCCTTTGTAGATCCAAAAGGTTTTCCTAATACATTGTAAATGACTGATATTTAGTAGTGTTTTCTCAGATGATTACGGCAAGCCAGGCATGGCAAGATTAGCCTTGAGTTAGTTGAGATGCAGATTGGTTTCCAGTGGATACCCACTGAAGGAAGGATTCGACTCCTGAGTTGTAGAAACGTTACTGAGGCAGAAAACTCATGAAACTGGTTTGGAAGTGTTCAGCAGCAACTGCAGCTACTGTGGTAAGTCCCCCAAAACCTCTCTAGTGCAGGATGTGTTAGCGCTTCCGCTTAGCAAGCTTGTGTTATCTGAGGCATGGTGTTCATTCATCATCGCTCACACTGGTGCAATATGGCTTTCCTGTTCCCAAATAAAAAACAAACAAAAACAAATACACAAAAACATTAAAAAAAAACCAAAACCACTACACCTCAAAGGCCAGACTGGAAGAACAGAAGCTGAAACCATACAGGTGTGAATGCATGATTTTCTTTGTCTGCATGTCATGGTCCTCTCACAATACAGGTATCTCTGCTGGATCCTACCTACCCTTCTGAAAGCTACATTGCCTTAGATGAGCGTGAGGGTGCTTGGTAGGAATTATTATTAGTTGGATGAGACAGGTAGAGCCCAGAAAAGATTCCTGTTTTTATTATTGCAAATCTATGTTTCAATTATTGTCTTCCTGTTTGGAGAAGATCCTTTCTGGCAGTGATTCAGCTGTCTTAGGAATTTTTTATATCTCATGAACTGGGAGTGGTTCCCAGGACACCAGATTTGCCATCACTTTTAAACCGAATATATTTGAAATCACTTGTAACAAGCAGCTCCGTGGGCCCCATTCTGCTGAAGAACTTTAGGAATGCCCAAAAGTTGGGATTTTTATTTTGCCAAACACAGAGAAGATTGTTGTTCCTCTGTACGTACAGTATTGTTTGCATGAGGCAGAAAGTGCAAGAAAAGGATGTCGGCATCTGCTGAGTGCTGAGCTGTCTGAATTGGAGACCTACCTTTGAACCCTGTTCCATACTCACAGGACTAAGCTGCATATATATATACACACACACACACACAAGTAGCTCTTCTTTCTACTTTTGCATTCAAGATCAGAATAGCTGTGGCTTGATGCTAGTGTTGCATTTCAGATACAGACTTTCTGCATTTTCTTTTTCTTAAATTCCAGTCTTGAATGGAACTGATGGGACACCTCAGGGGTTAAATAATTGCTAAAGAGAGTCAGAGATGAAGAGGGCAGCCAATAATGAAAATGATAGAAAGAGAATGAGCCTTAACTGTGTTTTTCCTTCTCAGTTCAATATCGGTTTTGGTGCTGCAACTCAAGCATCAATTCTGTATTTCTTCCCTCATTAGCTTTTCTTCCTTGTAGTGACCTTTCCTTCTCCGTTTTACCAGAGCACCTTTTTTTGCCTGATAGGTCTAAATCTGATGTGCAAAAAAATACTAAATCACATTAGTCTCCCAGTTTGGTGGATGCTGCCCTCTAAGGAGCAAGAATCAAGAGGAAAGGCAGTATCTGAGTAGGAGAAGTACAGGTTTTTTTCAACTGAAGAGCAAGTGTATGGCTAAACTAAGAGCACAGTGAGTCCTCTTCTCTGGCCTTGTATGCTGAAATTCCTGGATAGGAATTGTTCTTAGTGATAATGAAAGGTAAATAGTCATGTCCACAAACACCACTGTCTCTGTTAATCTACCTCTGTCTCTACCTTACCCAATGTTCCCTAAAATCGAATGCAGGTACTACACTACTAAGGCAGGAACGAATGAGAACATGAAAAATAAATGGTGCAAGTTTCTTTATCTGTAGGAGGGCTGGGTGGAGGATCTGGTTGTCTGGTAGTTATCAGGTACTTTAATCCATATACTTCGTCATCTCATATAAATACTTTTAAATACTAAGCCTGTATAATGAATATCAAATGTGAACCAAAAATATGTTGTTGTTCATCTCAATAGACATAAGGAAAGGTTGAATTTAGTAATGTTACAATCTCAAGTATAATGAAATATAATGCATCCATCAATGGATTTGATGGCATTTTACAAGTGAGCTACAGAGTAAACAGATATTTCGTGCATATAACATCTCAGTGGATAGGGAATACTTGTGAAAAAGAATTTGAGGTTAACATGTTTGGAAAGACAGATACAATTTTAAAGACTTTTAGAATTCATTACTTGTCACTATTAAGGGTCATTTTCTAGGATTAGTAATTTTTTTATTAAAAAAGCCTGATGTGGACATTGCATGCTTAGTTTCTGATGCAAGGAAGTTAATACATTGGATGCTTTGGTCTCCTAAGGAGAAGAAATCACATTAATACCTGTGCCTTGATTTTTCCTGTCCTTATAGGCCTGAAATCTGATCAGCTTTGTTTATTATGGGTATCAGTGTATTTAAGAGAATGAATGGCTCAGTGGATTTGGATTTGTGTAACAGGATCTAGAGTATTTGGTGTCTTTACATCAGTAGTTCGAATTCAGCTTATGCTGTCTGTGCTAGTGTAGCTTCTGAAGTCAGGCACCTGTGAATTAAGTTAATGGTCCCAGAAGTGGCTCTAGAAAGCTCTCTCTCTTAATGCCCATATCAGTAGTGTCAGGAAGAAGGCCAAGGAATGAAATGGCAGGTTGAAAACTGTTGTTCATTGTCTAAATTCATACATAACAATGGCGTGACTGAGAAAATATATATTGTTTGACAAAATGAGGAGGCAGCGGGTTTACACAAATATTGAGCTGCTGTGTCACATTTATTGCCTTGGACTGTTAGATGGAGATTTAAAAAGGTGTTGGGCTATGGAGAATAGGTAGATTGTGACGTAGCTGCTAGCCAGAAAATCTTTAAACCACTGACTACCTGAATAGGAACGTGTGAAGAGGAAAGGCTCTTCTGTATTGTCTTGTTTCTTGCAGCGTTTTACCGCAAGTAGTCGCTGCTGGCCTCTGTTGAGGACAGGATACTGGACTAGATAAACCTCTGAACTCAAGCAGTATGGCATATCTTGCATTCTCATAGCTGTTGTCACATCACAAAGGCAATGTTGTATCATAACAGCTGAACTAGAAGAAAAATGACACTGGCCTGTCAGCAAATGAGTGTTCACAAAGCAATGCAATACGTTGGTCCCTCATTTCCCTTTTTATTTTTTGTTCAGGCAGGTGACAAGCATTATCATCCAAGCTGTGCACGATGCAGCAGGTGCAACCAGATGTTCACAGAAGGAGAAGAAATGTATCTGCAAGGTAAGGGTGTCTCCATTCCAAAACAAGAAAATCAGACTTTGTAATTTTTCTGTCACAGACCTCAGGAGTTTATAAACCATCCCCATGTAATAATATGGGCAAGGAGGACTATAGTCATCCTGTCTTCAGTAGTGTGCTCATATCTTTTCACTTGAAACCTTTTTGCTGTAGTAGGTGGCCAAAACAGTGGCACTGCAGTGACTCTACACCCTAGCTGAGGCAGACTGTATTTTCAAAAGCTGTGTAGCAAAAATAAATTTATTAGGCTGCCTCTGAATTTGCAATCTCATGGATAGCTTAGCACACAGACTGGTATACGAGATACTAGATAAAGTGAGAGGGTTTCCCCTGAATTCTGCTGATCAATTTCTGTTCTCGTCTGGAGCACACTCCAAGCTGTAAAAGGCAAGGGGAAAACTTCCAGTGAGCTTGTTTTGCACCATGTAGATCTCATTCCCCATGCACATTGACAGTGTCTCCTCCAGTTCTTAATCATATTTGCTTACCTTGCCCATTTCCCTTTTATTTTTCCTGTCTCTCTTTTTATTCCCATTTACTTTATTTTTATGTCTTTCTACAGTTACTTCTTTCTTGTATGTTCATTGTCATCTCCTCTTTCTTACTAACAGTCTCACACTCCCAGGTATTGCCAAGTATGTTTTTTACATGATCTTTTCACATAAAAAAGAATGTGTTCTCTTCTTGAATAGTATGCTTGATCTGAATTCTACTTACTCTCCCAGAAGGTAGCATGTTAACTACTAAGCTACAGTTATTTTTACAACTTGCTGTTGTATGAAGTAATGTTGGTAGAAAGATGTATAATAGACATTTACGCAAGCCAGAAATCAAAGTGAAAAAGGCAGATACATGTTGGGATTTTATATATTGAAATAGAAAACACGCTTAATATACCTAAAGAACTGTAAAACAGTAGGAAAGAAATTATGAAAGTGTGGTGGCATCCATCTCTTGAAATCCTGAGGAGAGATTCCTTCTGGAGGAATTCCAAAATTAAGATAATATTGTTAAGGAATTCCTTTGAAGCTAACTTGTTGGGTTAACAACTTGGGTTGTTTGTCCTCCCTTGCAGTCCACCTCTCTCATCTCTCACTGACCTTATACCTTAGTCATCTTATTCCAGCTGTGCACAGAAGTGGATACCAAGTTGTGTAGGAGCTCTGCATTGCAAGAGCAAGGAGAGGCTGAAAGAAGGCTAGCTAGGAAGTACTCCTTTCTGATGGTAAATTGGAAAGACTAATTTCAAAGCAGTGGTTACCACATCTGAGAACTGGTAATCTTCTTAGTCTCTTCAGGTCGTAGTACAATAAAGTACAGACAGAGTTCAAGGTGAGCATCAGTTCATACTTTGCTGTTATTAATAACAGCTGTTCACAACTGGTGCTGTTTTCACCAGTCTAGTAGAGAGTTGGAGTTCATGTTGTTTGGGCAGGCTGTGGTATAAAGTTCTGCAGATCCAAATAAGACCGAAGGTATTGCTTCTACTTAAACAAGGCTAGATTTTGTCCCGGACAAGTTCAGGTGATATGAAAGAGGAGAGGAGAGACACCTGGTTCCTTGATCTGCCATTGTTCTCTTCTTGGCTGCATCTCCCTTTCTGTGGTTGTGAATTGATGTTCTTCATGCTCACTCTGTCTCAGAGGAGGAGCATCCCAAGTTGCATTATTGTTCACAAGCTGTTTTCTGACTAAATAATATTATTGCTGAGCGTGCTCCAGACTGTCCTGCCAAAGCTTTCCTTGCTGAATTCAGCATACTTGTAAGTGTAAGGGACATAAAAGCCTTTCCTGTGCAAAGCTCTCAGCTGAAATGTGTATCCTGACTCCATCCAAATTGTTTACCCTAGGGTGCAGAATAACAGCATTCCAAGCTTTTCTCTGAAATAAAAATACAACACACAGCACTAAAGCTACAACCAAAATCACATTATTGATAAAAATACGTGAAAATAGGCAGCTTGCATCTTACCTCTAATTATCCTCTCCACAGGACATGAAAGCACTGTGTTGGTATTGCTTTGTGTAATAGAGGAACCTGGCAGGTTTGTGGAAGCCACTTGTATTAGAAATGTGTGGGAAACCTGCAAAAGGAGAACATGGCAAAACAAGCTGTCTGTTTTGGGGCTTTCTGTGTTAGGGATGGTTTGAATAACGCTAGCAGAAGCACTCCGCCTTTGCACTGCTCCAACACAGGGAAATGAAAAAGAAGCATCATCTGAACCTTTCTCTTTCCCATTGACTTTCTATTACTATGTAGACTGCCCCAGAAGACTGTTGCTGGGCTGGGCTGTTGCTCAGCATTTAGAAGGATGGTTCACCTGATTTTCACACAGGCTTTTAGCCTTATTTAGCGTGTAAATATAGCCTGAGTTACTGATTTTGAGAGCACTGTATGTTGAAACAATGGTATGTGCAAAGTGAAAAGCTGAATAAATGAACATGTTGGTTGGTGTCTGCCAAGTGAGCAAACAAACATATGTTAAGAATGGGAATAACAACAATTTGCTGAACTGTTTCCGGTAGGAAAAAGAGGGGTGATGCAGCTTGAGAATTTGCACCATTTCAGGCATTTCAAAAGAGATTGGCATGCTTGGATGAATAAAATCCACAAGGTGTACATGGCCCAAAGTTCAAGATCATGATAAATATTTACATTTAACCTCTTAAGCCTGCTTTATGTGATTTGAGTTTTTAAATTTTACTATTTCAAACCTCTTACCATTTTGTGAAAGAAAACTCACAACTGTTAGCTAAGTTTCACCATAAAAGTGACATCCAGACTCTCTTGCATTTCTTGTTCACTTTCAGCAACTCCAGCATTCTCCTGGGGTGTGTCTAAAATTGTGCCGTTTTGTGCTAAATACTGCCTGAAAATGCAGTGACAGCTTTTTCTTTGACAGTGGGGATAGTTTAATAGAAAGGAAACTGAGGAACGGCAATCATTTTTCTCAGGGTCACACAGGAAGCTCACAACTGAATTTGAGAGTTGAACTTAAACCTTCTGAGCCTTAGTTCATCAGCCTTATAACATGAACTCCCTTCCTCCTGAGTACTTGGACCTGTCTGACCTCCTAAGCAAATGCACAGGGCATGCTTCTCGCCTGATCTCGCAGGCTCTGTGGGGTCCTGGCTCCGAGGTTGCTGTTTGTTTACAGAGAAGGCTGTTGGTACACCTCTCCCCGTTGCCTGATCGTTTCCCCCTGCCAAATGCACAGTTTCTTCTTCTTGGCTTCGACTCAAAGCCAAATATCTCAGACCCTTGATCCAGAGTCACAGCATTGTCTCCAGTCTCTGGTGATGATTACACTGTGTGCT